TTACAAATTAAGCTTTTGGTGAAGTAATTGTCAGTGAGTTGTATTATTAATAAAATAAGCTTTTTAGTGAATTAAGTATATTAGTGAATTAATTGTTAGTGAATTTAGTATCGATGAAATAAACATGTTGGTAAAATATACATATTGGTGATTTTATTGTCAGTGATTTAAATATCTATGAAATAAACATATTGGTGTAGTGAGTTTGGTAAAGTGTTGTTTCTATGAAATGAGTGTCAGTGAAGTGATATGTATCTCTCTAAAACAGTATCTCTGGATGAGTAATATAATATTGGATATTACTATTTCACAAAATACATAATTAAAGAATCTACAAAATTTAAATCTGAATTAGTCATACAATTCAAACTATTTAATTTATCTCTTATATAGTGCTTTTGAGAGATTATAGCATGCTGGCAGAATATTATATATGGTTGAGTCTAAATCACTTTTATAAACACATTCTTTCCCAACAACTTGTACTTTTGAGGTTGACTATATTAACATAATTGCCTTGCAATCTGCATATTTTTAATACTGTTAAGATGTTTACTTACAGTAGATAATACCATATCAATTTATAGTCAATTCTATACTGAGCTTGCTGTTTTTTTTTTTTTTTTTAATTCTTCTAAAAAAAAAAACTATATATTTACAAGGTGAAAAGTTAAATCATTTATTATAAAATGCACCTATCATGTGTTTTATTATGTTTTTTGGATTTTTCTAAGTTTTGGATATAAAAATTTTGAACACAAAATTTTCATGTTAGTGTAGTGTTAGTATTTAGGGTTAAGTTTCAGGTTTGGGAAGGGTTTTTAGGGGCATAGAGCATTTTTACTTAGGGCATCTTGCATTGATTAATTAGCTAGTATTTGAGATAATACATACATAGATGTAAAACACCATAGGTGCGTTTTAGTAAAAGTCATTTTGAGACATTTAAAGTTTTTAGTTATTGATTTTTATTTTTATTTACTGTACAAGTTTTATAATTTAATTAGTATATTATATTTCTCATTTTAAATTTCTCGTGATAATGATAAACCAAAATTCTCACTTATTAATTGTTGCTACGAGCAATGTTGATTTTATACGACGTTGAGTAACACCAATGTACTGTAAATACATCGTGTGGATACTTTTGTTATTTAATTCTTAGGTAATGTTTACAGAGAAATTCTACGTAGAATTTATTATTTCCAAATTTGCATTTTCATTTAAATTTACTACCAAATTGGTAACACTTATGACACGCTTCGCGCAATTGATATTTACTTTATTATGTAAAATACTTTGAATATTCTTTATTTATTCCGCGAAATCCTTTATTTATAGCAATATTTTTCCTAATACTACATACAGTATTTCCATTAAAACTAGATATAAAAAAAAAAATAAATAAAAAATAAAAGAAATTCATAATTCAGAAGATAAAATACAATATAAACTTCGTTGAAATATTTGAAAAATTACAGATATAATAAATTCTGAAAAAGAACTACATAATTTGGCATTAAAAAAGTTCATTCGGGTAAAAATATGGACGAGATTTAATATCTAATATCTAAGTTAAATGGAAAATTGATCTCTCTTCTAATCCTCCTCCCGAATTGAATGACAGCGTATATTAAGCCAGTTGGTTATAATTCATGAATTAAACAATGTGCCTTAATTTTATGATGCCGTTTAGTTATCTAAATTTTGAAGTAGGTATTAATAAAATTATGTATTCGTATTATCCTATCTGCGTATGTGCCGTAAATAAACTAATTTTCTTGACTCACCTCTTGACATGTTCGTATATTCTGATATACTAGTATCCATTAATGGTTGTGATGCGTTTGTCGGAATTTGAGAGGCTATCCGTTGTTGACCTAAATATAGAGAGTATAAGTATTAAAGCTTCGTTTATGTATTAATGTACACATTTGATGTGGGAATAGCTAGTCACAGTTATCGGATGCGATGCAGTCAATAAGAAAATTCATTGTATATAATGGATTCTTTATAATTCTAACGAGAGATTTCCTCCGCACGAGAAGGTAACGTTATTTTCGCATCAATGAAATTCATAAAATTATCTGACCAATATCCTTTTTATACTAATAAATTTGATCAAAGGAATGCGTAATCTAATGCTAAAATCGGTAGAGTCAGATATATGACAACACCCATTCTCCCGACCTGATAATTCTGTCACCAACATTCACTGATAAAATTAGTCATTTACATAAACTTGCTAATTTATCTCGTGCAAGGAACTTCTTTAACCTTAACTATAATATTAATACCAGCATATTTGCATTCACACACAATTGCATGTTCCTGATCACAAGATTAACGGGATGACCTACCTGACAGTTGACTTAACGCTATTGGCTGGTGGAATTGTGTTTGTGAAGCCACATGTGTACTATTAGCGTTAGCTGAAGATTGGTGATATATTAGTAAAGCCAACACATTCACATAATTGCGTTCTATTATAATAAAGACCTGTCTTATTCACCTTGTAATGCATTAGCATTTATTTGTGCCGATAATTGTGGATTTTGATGTTCTAGATTTATCGTTATGTAATATTAAATATCAGCAAAATTATTCACAAAAAGTTATATGTTGGTTCGATTAATGATGTTGAAATTTAGACTATTTTAAAACGAAATTTAAAATTTTGGGGTTTTTTTTTTAGGATTAAAGTTTATAATACTGTTTCAAATTAAGGTTCCAAATTTCAGTATCAGCCGCGACAATTATTATTTCTATTTTACCTGACTGATGTAATTGTATTTGTAGAGTTATGTGTTGGTTATTGGTGTGATATTGATGACCTATATTATATATTGGAATAAATAAGATTTTTAGGTAAGTAAAAATTCGGTCTATTATAATAATGAATTAATTTTCTTATTATCTACCTTGTAATGAATTTGCATTTATTTGTATCAATAATAGTGGATTTTGATATCCTATATTTATACAGCATTAAAAATCCAAACAAAATTGATAAGTAAGTGAATTTATATTACTGTACCATGAGAATTGATTTTTTTATTTCTACCTTGTGATGTATTAATACTTATTTGCGGATTTTGGTAATCTAGATTTACGTACGTACGTACGTACATAAAATATTAAAAAAATTATATTGTAATGTTTCACGAAAAACTTATATAATGACTTCGATCATGGATCGAATAATTAATTTACCTGAAGATGGTTGTTGAAGTTGAGTTGGTGAGGCCATGTTTGAGTTATTCATTTGATAGTCTATATGATATATTAGGAATAAAATTTAAGGTGAGTAAGCACATTTAAATTATGCGTCCTGTTATAGTGAACTTATGATTAATTTTCTTATTCTACCTTGTAATGCATTTGTATTTATTTGTGAACTTTGATACTCTGGTTTAATTAAAAATAGTAACTATTTGTAAGATTTCACAAAACTCGTGTGTGATCAGTGTTGTACTATCGACAAATGGATTTATAGATCAAATGGAACTGTTATTAATTAAATCGGAGCTATAGACCACAACATCATATAATGCGTTTATTTTAGATTCAAACTGAAGATTTTTTATCACTGGTCAAAATGATAGAATCGATGTAAATTTATCCTAATTGAAGTTGGATTAATTTTCTATCGAATATGCTATTAGCTTTCGTAAATATTCAGCTAATTGGCTAGTTGAATGCTGACAAACTACTGGCAGAATTGCGATAATAATCAGCAGACGGTCAACACTCGGCCTTCAATTGACCAAACTTCAATTTGAATAATTTCATACTATGTGATTTTATCATTCTGGGATAAAATAATTTTACAAACTTGTAAAATTAGTTTTTATTTTGGCAGTTTGAACTTAGTTCAATTCTATTAACCCATTATTTCGATCAAATTTAATTGGGCTTGGTCCAATTGATAACGCCGCATGTTTGATAGTTCAATTATAATACAAGTGTTAGGATCATTGATTCGACTAACTATAAATCCTATCTACCTGAAGGTGCTTGGTGGAAATGTGTCTGTGAAGCCATATATTGGTTATTTATTTGATACTGAAGGTCTAAATTATATTGTATATTAGGGTAAGCAAATATACATATTATATACCACAAATCATACCTGTTACTCGAAGATTTTCGTAGTTTTGAATTTCGAAACTATTTTGAAATGTTAATCCGAAAATCATCCGAGCTATCTTCGGGTGGTTTTTTTCGAGTAGCAGATACACAAAAATTATTTTTTATAATGAATTAATTTTCGTACCTTGCGATGTATTTGTGTTTATTTGTATCGTAACCGCTTGCAATATTTCATAAAAAATCACGTGTAATAATTCCAACCATTAGATCGTTGATTTGATTAACAATTATTGATGAAATGTTTACGTACCTGACAATGGTCGATGAAATTGTGTTTGTGAAGCCAAATATGAGCTATTGGCTTGATGACCTATGTCGTGTATTAGGAATAAAAAGTATAATATTTAAGGTAAGCATTAATGTTGTTATAAATACATTTATCAAAAATGAATTAACTTCTTATTTCTACTTTGTAATGCATTGTGTTAATGGACTTTGATACCCTATATTACATAACTCAGCCAGGACGTAGTCCATTTTTTCCGCAATGTGTAGATCCTTCACATAAAATTTGATTATTTTTTAACATTTTGAGTGATGCTTTCACGACAACCACCTAATAAATTTAGATAAAAAAATTTTTTTTTTTTTATTTAAACTCTACAAGTTTATAAAATTCAAATAAAAACATTTTTATCGAAATTTATCAGGTAGTTGTTGAGAAAACTTAGTTCAAATTTTTAAAAGAATTTTATTGATATAGACGAAATGAATTTTTCCAAAACTTTGAGCGACAGCCACCTAATAATTTTGTTAAAATTTTTTTTATTCGAATTCTACAAACTTGTAGAATTAAAATAAAAAAATTCATCGAAATTTATCAGGTGATAGTCGAGAAAGCTTCTCAAAGTTTTGATAAACCGCCTAAATTTTTTAAAAATTTTCTCAACAATTACCTGATAAACTTCGATAAACTTTTTTTTTTATTTGAATTCTACAAGCTTGTAAAATTCAAATAAGAAAAACTTTATTGAAATTTATTAGGTTGCGTGAAAGCATCACTTAAAGTTTTAAAAAATAATCAAATTTTATGTGAAGGATCTACACGTGTGCGGAAAAAATGGGCTACGCCCTGGCTAAAGCTTCGTATTCGTATTCTTTATTCGAATAATATTAGTATTCATCTGATGAATAATTCTAATAACATATCTTATTCGAATTCTGTTAGTCATTCGGTGAATATTCGAATAGATATTTGTCGATCTAAATTATTCAAATATTATTCGAATAAGGAAATAAGGAATCCGTAAGCTCTAACCCTGGCCCAGTTTGTAAATAATTATTTGATTTTGATTAACTACTACAAATTTTACCTATTTGATGTGATGGTTGATGATACTGTGTTCGCAATGATGTATATGAATCATTGGCTTGAAATTGATGGCCTATGTGTATTGGGAATAAAGATATTTAAGGTGAGTAAATACATTCATATTACTATAAATGCATTATATTATAATAAAGAATAATTTTCCTATTTCCATCTTGCAGTATATTCGTATTTATTTGTGTTGAAAATTGTGAACTTTGATATCCTATATTTATGCAATATTAAAGCTATAACTACTTGCACAAAAATCACGTGATATACTGATTTACCTGATGGAAATGAGATAAGGTGAGAAATATACACATAATATCATAATTATACCTTGTGAAGAATCGATGATACTTTGATAGTCTATATTTAATATTAAGAAGTTAAAGATCTTTAGTTATTCGACCATTAACAATAAATGAAACTTATTTACCTTCTGTTTGGTACCGCGGTTAGTTTTTTCAGTAATAAAGTTAAAATCAATGCATATAAAATAATTAATTTTTACCTTGTGATATAACTGCTTCGCAAAGGAAATCTTGGTGACCTGGATTTCCCAAAATTTTTCAGGGTAAGAACGCATTTATATTATTCTATCAAATAGGGTATGGATTTTGTTTTTCACCTCGTAATATCTCTCCATCTGAGCAATTCAATTGTGGGATATTATTCAGAGATTGATGGCCTAGATTATGTATTAATGAATACAATTACATATATTATGTGGATCAAAAATATTGCGCATCATTATGATGCATTACAGCATTATAATTTTTGACTTACCTTCTAATAGATTTGTATATGATGTCGATTGGGTAGCGGAAGAACTTGATGAACCAATATTTCCTGAGTGGAGATTATTTCGGAGAACATATAACGATATCTCAGTTACACAGTTGCTCGCACTTAATGAAAGTAATTGTATAGAAGCAATACCAAACACAAGAAACTCACGAATGTACAAAAAGAAAAGTGATCACGTGAAACAGATTACGTATGCAGTATACTCGGTGAAGGTAGAACGAATAATTTCAAATATCGTCATATCAGCTTCAAAACAAACCGACGATATGAAAGAACGTTGGCATATTGTTACTATAGTGATCACCAAGGAGCCAACTCATATAGGAGTGCATTCTCAAATAATCCATTTTAACCAGCTAATGATAGGCTTCTTAAATAGAAAAAAAGGTTGCACTTACTCATAGTTTCGTTTTGATATTCTATACTTTCAAAGATATAAGAGCAATTCTTTCCACTCTTAGTGCAGTAATGGCATGACTTCTCTCCTTTTATACCTTCATAGCATTTTCGTTTTCGATGGCGGCAGGCTTCACAGGCTTCAGGATTGCGTCCTTCCATCTTTTTGAATCAGTTATGTTGACTAGGGGAAGAAGTAAAAGATAGGAAATAAAAAAAAAAAGTATAGTTTTTTTTTTAAAAAAAAAAAATATTATTTACAACTGTTTATAATTCTTGTATATTTTTTTTATTTATTTATTTATTTATTTTTTTTTTTTTAGATAAGACCAATTACGCTTTTTAAAGTGCCGATTTTTCACATGTAGTAACATATTTTGACCATAAAAACTGCATAATAAAAATTATGTAGTAATCCACTATACAGCTATATGTCTTATAATGAATCAGAGTTGCTTCCAATAATTAATTCTACGGATCACAAACACAATAGTTACTTTTTCGACAGGGTAGTCTTATGCTATTCTATCAGTAATACTTTTCCTAAATTCATAATATGAAGTGCAATTTATGTAACAATTTTTGATGGTAAATACGAATACAAAGTAATGGCATACGTATCAGATCTGCACAGCCTGATAAATAGATGAGTCACATTACAGACTCAATCTGCGATGTGTAAGTTCGGCGCCACACTAACTCGTAAATATATACAAATTTTTGTTGCATAATAGGGGGCGGATAAAAATTATAAAATTTAAGCAATGCAAATAGTGGGATCACAAAAAAATTGTAATTCGATAAATTTATTATTGCAAAATAAATTAATCACACATTTTGTAAAAAAGTTGTTTATATAAGAGAAATCTTTTTTTTATTGTCAGTTTTCAATGAATCAAACATTTTCTGATACAAAAGAAATTCTTTGATGTCAATGTTTCATAATTTAGTAATAACTACAGTTTACCCTCGTTTATATCAACCCATTTGAATTGGTTTAAATTCATGTTGATAGTGATATTAACAAGAGATTATATTAAAAATTGATATATATGAGGGAGTTTTAATACATAAAAATTTGTAATTCATCTTATGGTTTAGGTTGATATTAATGGGGTTAATATTAACGAGGGGTAGACTGTATTTCATCACATTAAATTTCATCACAGAATGTTTTTTTTTAAAAAAAAAAAAAACCGTTACGCACTCCGCTTGATGATTTCTCAAAATGGAGGTAAGGTTAGATCTACTACGTAATGCTGACAATGTCAAATGGAGTCGATCTAGCCATTATTGTTAGTTAGCGCGGTAAATTGCGATTTGATGATTTGATTTGATTGTCGGTCAGATGTATAACAATTCCATTTAAGTTAGTAACGGTAATTTACTATGTATAATATCTGTTAAATTATAACATTGCTTTTTAAAAAAATTTTATTAAATGCTATTTTTAAAAATCTTAAGTCCGCTAATCTATTACCAATATTAAGTAGAGATGAAGGCTATAATTATGGAACAGTAATTAGTTTGAGAAGTGTGAAAATTGTATAAATTGATTTTTCCTGATAAAAATTAATATTGCTTGCCGACATGTTTCTACAAAATTTTAGCATTTATTAAGACTTCGATTACTAACATTGAAGAAAGCATGGCTTGAAGTTTAAGGCAAAATAGTGTCACTTTATTTTGTTCATATTCTGTTCATCTATACGCACTACGCCATCTTAAACGTTTTCAAAATTCCATAAAAACGATTGGAGATAATTAAGATTAGAAATAACTCCGAAGGCGGGAGATAATTATTACTTTAATATTTTATCAAAATAAGAGCTTATCAATATGCATGATTGTTTATTAGCCATATGATCAATACGCATATTTTAAGAAAGTTAACCGTAAATTTGTCATGTCTTCATTACAAACAAGTAAACAAAACTCGTGTTCGTGCAACAGCTCCCGATATGAGAAACCTTAAGTACGTACGTACTGGTTTTTTTTTTTTTTTTTGACAATAAAATAAGCATAAATTTTATAATTAAAATTTAATCTTTTATACTTTATAACTTGAGTCATAATATACTCAAATATCAAAGTTGATTTTGTCAAGTAGTTTGTTCGAAATTTTGAAAAACTGTTCAAAAAAATTTTCGATGATTTGCTGATATCATATACTATCGTAAATAAGCATTACTCCTCTACCCACTTTTTAAATGTCAGATTAGCGGAATTGCAATGAGATCTTTAGTCAAGTTATTCGGGCTAATCTGATATTTGAAAAAGTGGGGTAGAGGGAGTGATGCTTATTTACAGTATAATACGGTATGTGGCACTCCTGTTTGTTTTTATATGGTATACTAGCATATATTCGTCTTTATCAACCCTGTGAGACAAGATCTTTTTTTTTAAGTTAATATATACGAAAGTTGACATTAAAAAGTAATAATAAATATCTTAATATACCTCTTTAATATCAATCAATATAGGACAAATGTTGATATTTAAGAGGGAATTTGTATAAGAATATTACTGATATAAATATGTGATTTACCTTCGGTTAATGTAATATTAATAAATTAGAATATAACTAGAATATGTACGGAATATCTTTTTCTATAAAACTTCACTTGTTTTTATCGGTCCTATTTTTTGGGGGGGTTTCATTAAGAGAAACCTTATTATTCTCACAAAGTCAAAATATATATATATATATAAAAAATAAATAAATAAATAGAACGTTAGCTAAAAAAAATATACAAGAATTATAAACAGTTGTAAATAATATTTTTTTTTTTTAAAAAAAAAACTGATCTCAGGGGGGTTGATAAATGTGAATATATGCTACTACTGTACACAAAAACAAATCGGTAATTAATCGGCTATATTTTTTATAGCATAAATCATCACATAAGCCAGCTAAATTATTGAAATGCTCAATTGAATAAACTTTGAATAAAAAATTTTAATTACAAAATCAATTTTGATATTTGAGTACGTACGTTATAACTTATAGAATATAAGGCTAATATTGAAAATTTTAGCAACGCAAATTTATTGTCTTTTATCGACGCTAAAAAAAAATCAAAAAAAAACCGTTATCATATCGGAAGTTGTCACACGACGCCAAAAAAAAAAAAAATCCGGTATTTAGCTACACAAATTTATTGGGTTTCTTTTTTTTTGACGCCAAAAAAAAAAGAAAAAAAAAACAGGGAAGTTGTCACACAAATTTTGTTTACTTGTTTATAATAAGCGTGACAAAATTTCTGGTTACTTTCATATGCATATTGGTCATATGGATAAACAATCATGCGTATTGATAAGCTCTCATTATGCAGTTCTGATAAAATAATAAAGTATCCCGCTCTCGGAGTTATGCCTTGATTGGGATTTTAAAATTTTCCCTGGCTCAATGACAGCTATTTTGCCTTACATTAAACTTCAAATTATGCATCCGCTAATGTTGCCAGGCAAAATCTCTGGATAATTGCTAAAATTTCGGAACCAACATTACTTCTGTCAGTAAGTCAATTATTTACGTTTGATATTTTCATGTTTATCAAGTTAATTATTCTGTTCTGTCATTAAGGACTATCAGAAACATATAATCAATCATATTTACAAATCCGGCTGGCCAATGCGGGCCTTACTTAAATGGGATTGTTTTTCCTGCGCTTGCGTACGTACGTATGTACTATTACTGATTTTAGAAATTATCAAAAGCGGAGTTGTGTAATATTCACTGTTTTTTTTTTTTTCTTATCATACATAAAAAAAAGAGTTAATAAATTTGTAACCACGGCTATTGTAACCGCATCTCGTAAGGCCAATTAAATTTTAAGATCAGGTGTAACAAAACAAATCTTTTTGGATTATGAACCCATTTCAACAAAAAAAACTCCTTGATATAAACTAAGCCCTGCCCAACCCTAACCTTAACCGCAAGATTTTATTTTTATAACCTAAGATTATAAAATCATTAATTCAAAAAGATAGAAAAAACCCGTAACCAAAGATTAAATGATCAGCTGTTACCCGGTTATGATTAGAATTAGTGATTCTTGCCGAGCATAATATTTCGGCTATGACCAAGCCGATAAATTTTATCGGCTTAGTCAGCTTGGTCGAACCTACAATACTATTTAATTTGTTTAATCCGGAATTTTTCGGAATTTACAAAAATTTTTTGGGGACGTCTAAAGTGGAGGCAATTCATGTTTAATAATTTTTTCAATTAACTTTAGGGTTAGGGGCATCCGATATTAGAGTTAGGTCAGGTATTTGGCAATTATATATAAGCAAAATTGTCTTCCCGTCATTTTTGATTAACCTACCCGGGTAGGTTTAGACTGCCATTTTTTGTATTTTTCAGGTTTTTTGTTTTTATTTCTTGCTTTGCTTCGCTGGAGATCATCAAAATTCTATAATTTGATTGGCTGTTTATCACATGATTTGCCTCCGTTTTTCAACTACCCAGTATCGCCGAAAAGTCTACGGACAGTGCTTAGGGACAGTGCAAAACTACGTGATTGGTTAGTTAGCGGTTAGGGTAGATGGTTT